AACTTAAACTGAGGATTAGGGTTTTCTTCCTTAGCTTTTTCTACTTCCAACTTTTTGCTGGTTAATTGAAGAGGCTCATAGACTTCCCTGCCTGGGCTGGCTTTGAATTATGATTCTCAGATATTAACCTCTTGAGCAGCTGAATGTGTGAGCCACCAGCACCTGGCCTCATTTTTAAATACTGATTTTTATATTGATCGTTGTTAGTTTCATATATTTGTGCCCTAATGTGTCCAAAAATATTCATAAAACTCATTAGTATGCAGAAAATAGACAGAAAATAAATGGTTAATCACATTTAAGTTTCACTGAGCCTAAGCTCTTCAAATGTAGGTTAACAATAACATATGTAGATAGATGATGATTGCATTTTAAGACATTGAACTAGAGTTAATGTGTTTAAAATTGAATAGAAGCAGAAAATACTCCATTGAGAACTTCGGTGTGTGCGTGTGCGTGCGTGGCTGCCTGTGCATGCACACATCTACATGAATTTGGAGAGTAAGGATCAACTGTATTTTTCTTAATGGGAGTATCACTGACGAAGCAATGGATACAGTTTCTTGTAGGAAATTACACTCCATTCAGAAACATTCAAGCATAGCTATCTTGGACATAGCAAGCTGTCATTCTATCTCTCTGTTAACAGAGGCCCTTTCTATTATAGAAACTTTGGCAAGACCTGGACAAATCCCTCTGTACTACATTGTGCTTGCATGGGACAAGCATGAAGCATGGTCAATAGGAGAAGAATTGTTTTACACTATATTTTTAGAGGTTAGAAATATTTCTTTAAAAATTAGCTTACCTAAGAAAGGAAAATATTTTTAAATTGAAAGCAAAATGCAAATCTCTGAAACAAATGGAAAGTTACAAGAATTTTATTCATAAACTTGGCTGAAGAAAAAATTCCCACTTTAAACACTGTTAAGTGATTTCAGTATATATTTTAAGCATAAAATTATTAACAATTAATAGTGGTTATATAACTAAATTGAAGTATATTTTCAGAGTAGAATTAGTCCAGATTGATGTTAATTAATAATTTATAAAATTGATGTTAATTAATAATTTTTGCTATAAAAGTACTCATGAGATACAAAATATTTTAAATGTTAAATGAGAAAGCACCACAAATATTGAGATTTGGTTGTGAAGTATTAAATGTGACTTTAAATCAGCTATCTTTTGCGTCAGGATGTCTTTCTCTGTTGCATCTCCGATCTCAGTCCCCAAGCTCGCAGCTGTGGGGAGCGGGTCCTGGGTTTTAGCCGGTCCTGTGGCCCTCAGGGGACACAGCCATCCCCACTTCAGTCTCCTGAGGAGTCGGGCCTTGGCATGGCTGTCCCCCTGCAGTGAAAACACGGGTGCAGGGCTGTATTTGTTCTTACATTGTGTTGCTGCAAAGCAGTGCAAATCAAGTGACTTAAAGTGATCATTTTTTGAAGGATTTCAGAAAAGCTTTTAAGCAATGGGAACTAGAGGCAAATGTTGAAATCATACTTCTCGAAATCTCCAGGTGACCTAGGTTTATCATGATCTAATGAATGATTATTTAAGAACTTTGTGCCACAGCGTGACCAGCAGGATTGATGGCTTTTTAGCATGTTTTCATTGATCTTGCAGCCCAGCACTTGGATAGATGTGAGAACTCACAGTCTAGCATCATTCTGGGGTTCAGGGTCAGGCTTGGGGGTCGCTGGGTGCCCCATTCCACAAGCTTCTCATTGTTCTACCCAATTAAGCTCCCTGGACACCCTTTTCTGCAGCTGGCTGCATACTGAGGGTAAACCCAGGGCCTTCAGCCCCTTTTCACCCTGGTTATTTTCAAGTCAGGCTCTCACTTTAGGCTTGGGCTGGCCTGGCCAGTGATTGTCCTGTGTGTCCTCATGTTGCTGGAGTGGCAGGTGTGTATTACCCCACAAGTCATTGTCACTCCCTGAGCCAGTATGGCAGGTGTGCATTATTATGCTTAGCCATTGGTCCCGATAGAGCGTTTACATTGTAATCTCCAGATCTCTTTCCCAAGTAGCTGACTGATGTCTTGAACCCCCATACTCATAATGCGGCTCTCATGTTAGCCCACAGGCTCTTCAAGGGTGGAACAGAGTGTACATAGGCTCTAGATTTTGTGGCACATTGAGTGGGGGTCAATTCCTGTATTAGGAATGGAAATAAAGTCTGAGAAATAACCCATGAAGAGGCAGCCATGGCAGAGAGAGGAGAAATTCTGGGTAAAGGACTGAGTTGTGGAAATCCACAGCAGGCACTAGGGCTCGGGAGGGAGGAGGAGATCCAGAGGTGTGGAGCTTCCAGAAGTTTGCATTCATCTGGAACTCATGACTGAGATTTTTAAAGCTTTTCTGTTCCATACCTTTTTGCTTCTGTCCTTTCCTCAGGCCTATCCAGTGTGTGTGTGCGTGTGTGTGTGTGCGTGTGTGTGTGTGCGTGTGTGTGTGTGCGTGTGTGTGTGTGTGTGTGTACACGTGTGCACACCTGGTGCAGTGTGCGTGTGTGCATCCATGTGTGTGCGTGTGTGCCAATACTGGGGCTCAAACTCAGGGTATCTTACTTTCACTTTTTCACTCAAGGCTGATGTACCACTTGAGACACATGTCTATCTCTGGGATTTTGCTGGTTAATTCAGATAAAAAGCTTACAGACTAATGCTTGGTAAGAAATGTACGCATTATCCTACCCATGTAATTGTAACCCCTCTGTACAGTATCTTCACAAATAAAATAAAATAAAATAAAAAAATGCAAAAAAAAAAAAGCTCACAGACTTTTCTGTTCAGGCTGCCTTCGAACTACATTCTCAGATCTTGGCCTCTTGAGTAGCTAGGATTACAGACAAGAGCACCAGTGCCTGGCTGTGCAAGATTCTTGTTAAACTGTCTGCTAATTGAAGGGTTTACTCCATGGATAGATGGTAGATTCTGTTTAGTCAATGAATCCTGTATACGAGCATGTGCCTCTGTGTGATTATAGGATTATAAGACCCACTCATGAGAGAGAACATGCATCTTTAGTCTGTGTGGGTCTGGCTTCTTTCGCTGTGGTATTTTCCAGATTCATCTGTTTTCTTGCAAGTGATGTAATTTTGTTCTTCCTGATGTAAAATTCTATCATCTATTTAGTAGGGATAGGCATGTCTGTATCTACATACCTTCATATCCTTACCTCCATCTCCATCCATCTCTGTCTCTGTCACTGTATCCATACATTGCTGAGCGTGTGTCTCTTGGCCTCCTGATCCCAGGGCCAGTGGGGATCTGAGAAGTATAACACACTGCATATCACCAATCCATAAGAGATCAAAATTCAAATAGCATTGTTTCTGCTAAGTGAATATATTTTTACACCATTGTAATATCGAACTATCATGAGGTCAGATCATCAGAAGTGGGGTGTGCTAGATACCTCTCTTTCTTTACAGACACATGTACACATATACATACACATGTTGCATATAAATACAACTTGTATGTGTGTGTGTATTCTCTAAGCAAGGAAACAAACTGGCACCTGATCTGCGCACAGCCTTCCTGTATCTCCCGCACGTGACTGTGGCTGACAGAGAGAGGAGAGTTCTGTGGGGCACGTGGCTGTTGTTTCCAATAGCTCATAATATCTGCAGAGTTTAGAGCAATATTCAAACTTAGAAATTACCATCTCAGCGTGTACATGATATTTTATATGTATATGTATGTATATATATATATATATATATATATATATAGAATACTATCTAGCTCTTTGTTTTCCAAAGAAAAGCAGGATTTCTGTTATCAAAAGATATAATAAAAATAAAATTAAAAGTCAGCTTAAAGATATGTCTCACTGTGAGGTAAATTTATGTATCCATATTGTGGACTTGTTTCCTGAGTTTCCTTATGTTCATACAGAGACCAGTACTGAGAAATGAGACTGAGGTAGAGGGATATTTGGACTGTCTTTTGGATTATATCTACTAACCAGATAAAAAGAATCTGTAAGACTTGTACAGGTCATTATGTTGAAACGAACTTTACAACTTTGGTGGGGGGGGCGCAGGGAGGATTGGGCGGGGAGGGGGGGGGGGGGAGGATGGGAAAGGATGAGAAGGGGAAACAAAGGAGGAGGCTACAACGCTTGATAAGAAATGTATTCATTATCTTGCCCATGTAATTGTAACCCCTCTGTACAGTATTTTCACAATAAAAAAAAGAATCTGTAAGAATGACAGTTCAAGCTAATATCTCTCTATTACATTTGGTGTCATCATGAATTAGTAGTAAGAAATCTTATTTGCAAGAGTTTTATATGATAAACTTCTTTGAAAATTTTGCATTATTTTTTAATCAGCAGTGTGTTTTGAAATTCAAATCCAGAAGGAGGCTTTCTGTCCAGGTAGATCATGACTGTTTGTCAGGCTGCAGTGAATGCTCAGATTTCTCCTGCTGGAACAGGCACTGAAGGAGAGAACATCACAATAGACTAGAGTCTCACCTCTTAGTGGTGTGTGTGTGTGTGTGTGTGTGTGTGTGTGTATACTGATGTAAGGGCTTGAACTTAGGTACTCATTTTTGCTCAAAGCCAGTGCTCTGTAACTTGAGCTACCACTCCACTTCTGGCTTTTGGTTGGTTAATTGAAGATGTGTCTCAGGGACTTTCCTGTCCAGGCTGGCTTTGAACTGTGATCCTCAGATCACATCCTCCCAAGTCACTAGGATTACAGGCCACCAGTACTTGGTTTTTGTCCCTTATTTTTATGTGTACCAAGCTCTAACACCATACCAGATGATCACAAAAAGGGAGAGGAGAATAAACATCACCTAAGAAATACAGGCATGGCTGCTTCGATATTTCTGTTGGCTGTATTGCTGTTACAATGAATAATAAATCATAAGCTCATGGAGAACAATGTGGCCAAGACGACACATTGCATGGAAGACCATGGTGCAAGTCTCTCCTTGCCATCTTCAGCCTCCTCACAGTAGCTCTTCGCTTTCCTCCCAGTAAGGTATTTCCAGAAGGCCTCCCGGAGGAATATGCTGTAGCAGCCGTGTTTCGTGTGCGGAGAAATACCAGGAAAGAGCGGTGGTTCCTCTGGCAGATTTTAAACCAGCAGAATGTGCCACAGGTAAGAAATTGGGAGAGCTGTACTGATGCACTCTGCGCCTCAGTTTGGGAGCCTGAATCTGAACATTGTGTGTTTGAGAGGACTCAGCGGGGATATGGCCATCTAACCATGGAGATGAGCTGGTAGATGGGATGGGCCAGATACCTTTTAGCTCTGTCTGAACACTCTGAACTACTCTTCTAAATGATTCTGTCCCTCACTAACAATACCACTTTGCAAGTGATTCATCATCAGTCCTTGGTGAATTATTATTATTTTTTTCTGTTGGTCATAGGGCTTGAACTCTGGGCCTGGGCACTGTCCTCAGCTCTTCAGCTCAAGGCATGTACTTTACCACTGGAGCCATAGTGCCACTTGTTTTCTGAGTGGTTTATTTGAGATAAGAGTCTCACAGACTTTCCTGCCCTGGCTGGCTTTGAACCATGATCCTCATATCTCAGCCTTCTGAGTAGCTAGGATTACAGGCATGAGCCACCGGGCTGGCTAGATATTCTTAATATTTAATTAAACATTTTTTTCCTTACCTGGCAGAATAAGAGACTTAAAAATCATAATCCCTGCCCTTATGGAGCACAGAGTGTAAGGGGAAGGTGTCTGGGAGAATGTTTATGCCATGAATGTAGGATTTAGGTGAGCATGAGCCAGAGCAGGGCAGGCCTGACAGGGGTGGGATGAGATGGGCAGGCTTGGCAGGGTGGGGTGTGAGGGGCAGGCCTGGCAAGTGTGGAGTATGAGGGGAATGCTTGGCAGGAGTGGGGTCTCTTGAGACGCAGGCCTGGCAGGGGTGGAGTGTGAGGGGCAGGCCTGGCAGGGGTGATATAAGGGGCAGGCATGGCAGGGGTGGGATGTGAGGGGCAGCTTAGCAGGGGTGAGGTCTCTGAGGGGCAAACCTGGCAGACGTAGGATCTCTGAGGATCAGCTTGGCAGGGGTGGGGTGTGAGGAGCAGTCCTGGCAGGGGTGGTGTCTCTCAGGGGCAGGTCTGGCAGGGGTGGGGTGTGAGGGGCAGGCCTGGCAGGGGTGGGGAGTCTAGGAAAGCTTGTGGAGGAAGGACATGTGGGCTGCTTTTAAAAGGATCTTAGAAATTACTTGCTACCATTATGCATTCATATTGCTCCTATGCAGAGTGTTGCAGGGCTCTTTTGTCTTTTAATACAGTTACAATTTTATAATGGGAAGATTGACCTGAGACTATGTCAACTTACATTAAATGTATTCTTTTCACCAGGCAAATCATTAAAAGGTCAAAAAAGTTCATGTCAGTTTATACAAAATAAAATCGTACCTTTATTATTTTTAAATTACTAGACTTTGACTCCTCGAGTTACCTAGATAGAATTATTTATGTATAAGTTTATGTTTGGGTGTGTACATAATATCAGTGAAGCAGTATAGTTTGAAATATGAATTGTAGTTTTTATATAAATTTGCATTTTCATTCTGAAAAGGAATATGATTGACATTTACCTGAGTGCCACACTTTTGAGCCATTTGAGGTTTGTGTTACCAAACTTAATAGACAGCATAAAACATTACTCAGTGCTTCAGTTAGGGTTCATGCATCAGTAATTTTGCATCATGACTCTTAAAACATTTACAGATAACTTTCCCATTTGCAGATTTCCATCACAGTTGATGGAGGGAAGAAGGTGCTAGAATTTATGTTTCGAGCTGCTGAAGGAGATACGTTGAACTACGTGTTTAAGAACCGGGAACTCCGCCCTCTGTTTGACCGCCAGTGGCACAAGCTGGGCATCAGTGTGCAGCCCCGTACCATCTCTGTCTACGTGGATTGCAGCCTGGTTGCAAGCCGCCAGACCAGTGTCCAAGCCACCACGGACCCGCGAGGAAGGACAGCCATTGCCTCCCGGGCTTCGGACGGCAGACCTGTGGATGTAAGTGACACTGGAGTTGTAAGTTAGGGCCTCGCATCTCTTCCCACCAGTGCTACATCCCTGCCCCTCTCAGCTCAGTATGCCATGTGTAAAGCATAACAATTCTTTTGCATGGCAGTACTGGGGCTGAAGCATGGGCTCGAGTTCCTTTAGCTTTTTTTATGCTCAGGGATGGTGCTTTACCACTTGAACCACAGATGCACTTCTGACTTTTTGCTGGTTGATTGGAGATAAAAGTCTTGGACTTTCCTACCTGGGCTGGCTTGGAGCTACAATCAGATCTCAGTTTCCTGAGTAGCTAGGATTACAGGCGTGAGCCTGTTGTCTTCTGTTTTGCCTCTTTTCTCTAGTCAGAAAGCAGAAAACAATGTGATAATTCCTTTCCATAAAAATAAGATTATTAGATGTAACATAGTAAAAATAAAAATATAACTCAAAACATAAGCTTTGTCTAAAAAAGACATATGTTTCAAATACACAGGGCTAGACAAAGATGAACTTAAAGGATTCCAGATTATCTGCTGTTTTCAATCAAGAACAATAGGCTATTTACTTACATTCAAAGTAGCAATTGCGTTGTATGGCAGGCCATTTTTCCATCCCTTATAATGGGTTTTCAGGATTCTGTTGAACAGAAATAGTCACTAAGTGTGTCAGTAATCATTTGGATGAGAAAAAATGGCTAGAAAGAACTCAGAGGAGAAGATCCTTTAAAAATCACATTTGCCTAGAAAACAAGTGAGATTATGTAAACTAGAAAGCCTGATGTTTTCCTGTGGGTAGAGTGACAGGAAAAATCCCTGAAAACGTGAGTCCAGGTCACTGATAGTAAATGTCCATGCCGTACCCCCTACCACTCACAGTGGGGTTTCATTGTAGAAACAGCATTGTGCACACATGGGCTTGAACTCAGGGTCTGGGCACTGTCCTTCAGCTTTTTTGCTCAAGGCTGGCATTCTACCACGTGAACTACAGCTCCACTCTGGCTTTGTGCTGGTTAATTGGACATAGGAGTCTCATGGACTTTTCTGCCCAGGGTGGCTTGGAATCTTGATTCTCAGATCCTTGCCTCCTGAGTAGCTGGGATTATAGGCGTGAGCCACTGGTGCCCAGCTTGCCAGTTATTACTTCTAAAGAACCTCTTTTGAAGGGTTTTTTTACATATATATGTATTATATACATTATATATATGTATATTTAAATACTTTCTCTTAGAGACAAGGCTGTTCTTTCTTCCTGTGATTCTCAGAGAAATTAATGTTGTGAATTATTATTTCTTTTTAATAGATAGAACTTCACCAACTTGTAATCCACTGCGACACAGACTTCTTAGCTCGAGACCTGTGCTGCAGGGACCCGGCTGCAGTAAGTTGACTGTATTGGAGTGGGGAGAGAAGAGAGCCGGTAGTCTTCAGGATGGTCTATCAGCTCTCATAGCATCTGAAGGAGCTGTAAGAGTAAATTTTTCCATGTAAAGAGGTACTCTTTGCACTTGCCTATAGTTTTCATGAGTTCAGCCCCAGAAATTGCAGTGAATTTTGGGGATGCAGTCCCCCACTTTGGACTCAGCAGAATGGAAGGAGGATCCATGTCTTTTTACCCCTTATTCTGAGAGCAACACCTCGCTCTGCCTCAGACACAAGTTCTCAGTTCAGGTTAGACCTTATTTTCACACAGTTCCCAAGCCTGTCACCCCACAGGTGGTATTGGCTGGTGTTCTCTAGAGAAAAATCGGTGAATAGTTTATCTGTGTGTGCATGTGTCTGTGTGTGTATCGTAACACAATATGTACAGCTGTGTAACTCATATGACTACCAAAGGGGACTTCTTAGGTAGGCATACACAATTGGAGTCTGGCTGGTTCAGCCATGCTTTGTGCACACTGGCAAGCCAGAAATCCAGAAGTTGCTTGCTCCAAGAAGCTGGAAAGCTCAGAACCAGGAGACAGTGGTGCATTTGTAGCTGGAGGCTTAAGGCTCTGCATTGAACAGTCTCAGTTGAAAGGCTGAGGAAATGGGTCTGATGCTAAGGGTGGTGACAGGTCAGGGGCCATGTGATGCCAGGGGTGTTGGCAGGCCAGGGGTCACGGTGGTAGTGGTGGCAGGCCAGGGACTGTGTGATGCCAGGGATGGTGGCAGGCCAGGGCCATGGTGGTGGTGGTGGCAGCACACACACCAGTGGGAAGCACATGCTGCACCCATTTGCCTGTCTTCTTCCTGTCAGTTTTGTTCCATCTGGACCCCAGCTGGCTGGACATGCAGCCCACAATCTGAACCCACCTTCCTGACATCAGTCATCTCCAAAGCCTGCAGACACAGCCCGGAGTAGATGACTAAATCTCCCGGTGTCTCTCAACCCTCTCAAGGTGCCAGCCACACTTCACGACACATCCAACCCGGCTAGTTTCCCCTTGCAACAGGTTGTTTTGTTTTTTTGTATTCTCATCCTTTTTTTCCTCTCCTCCTATTATTGTCAAAGTCTACTCTACCTCCTGTCTGGAATTTTGTGTCATCCCATCAACTCCTCTTCCATCTCTGTCATTTTCCTTGGTATCATTGCCAGAGTGAGTCCCTGCACCAGTGTTTCATGCATTCATCTAATTTCTTCAGCAAATATTCAGAATCACTGCAGTTCTCATCCCTATGCTAATGAACAGAACCAGAAGCATGGATATGCATTTTCTTCTCAATGCCATAGTTCATCTCTGAAGATAACAAAATATAAATCTAGCTCCTGAGCCTCCTTCTAGATATTCTCAACCCACTGTACAACTTATACTTTCTTGTGCCTAGATTTTATTCCCAGCAAAATAATGATTCAATACTTTCTATTGCTCTTCTGTGTGCTCTGATATTATTATGTATATTTGTTTTAAATTTACCCAAGTGAAATTTAGATGCAGTGAGGGAGGTTTCATATATATATATATATATATATATGTATATATATATATTCCTTTTGAGTTATTTTTGCATTTCTAGTGCTTCATTTTTAGCATGTAGCCAGAACATTGTTTCTTGATCTGTTGACTTGTCAACCACGGAAGGAAGTATGTTTGGAAGGGAGTAAGTCTTAGAAATTTAGCAAGAAGAACTGAGGAAAACTAAGAAGGAACAAGATGATGAGTTCTTTTTCTTTGGATCTTAGATTTCCTAGAAATTTTTCACTTGCGAGAAAATTACATAAAAATGTAATCAACAGCTTGTAATTCAAAAAAATGGAACACTTTTCTCCTGTACTTTGGGTTGAAGAATAAGAATAGACCAGCTGACACAAAGCATAGCTAAGTGTTTCAACTATGATACATTTTGTTTATGTAACTTGGCTGAATAGAGTCTTCTTCCTGGTTTGTGGCTCCCATTCCAAGTAAAATGAAAGTCAGCCAAATGCCTTTCCATAAATACCCAAAAAGATGACTCAGGATGCCAATCTACAGAGTGAAATACCAAGACTTCCTGGAGCCATACATTTAAATCCTGAAAGTATTATCTTTCCAAAACTTTCTTAATTTACTATGCTTACATGATATAATAGCTCTTAAGATAATAATTTTCTTTGATTGAAAAAAAGCTAAGATGCTTGATATATTTAAACATATTTTTGATTGACTATGCCCTGGATTATTACATAATAGACATTTCCAACCTGATTTATGATGAGCTATTTATGGTATTGGGTGATGGATTGGAGGAAGTGGTTCAGTAATTAAAAGCTGTCACATGACCTCATATGATATACATATTATTTTAAAAATAATATTTGGAGAGGATGATTACAGTTAAAATAGCTCGTTTGCAACTGAAAACTGAGTAAGGAAATATGTTGAATTGCTTTAGGAAAGCATGTAAGAGGAAGAAGGGAAGATGGTGAGATTGATCTGAGCATCTTGTAAACATGTGGGAATATAACCCCAACTCCCTCACCCCCTATGACAAAGGCAAGCTAGTTGAAAGTTAAAGAAGAATATTTGTGAGTTAATTGTAGAGCAGAAAGTAAATTAAGGCTTTATCCCAATGATGGAACAAAATAATCGAAGATTGTATTTTTCATGCTGACAATTTTTGGGGTGAGAATTAATCTTTATTCTATGATAGACAGGAAGCAAACACAGACCACATTTCACAAACGGAAATGTACCAGTAAGATGAGTCATTATGTAAGAGCCATTCAGTGCATTTGCTGCACCTCTTATATACCAACAGTATTAAGGTCTCTGTTTTGCTAAAGGTTTATAAAATTTTAGTAAATGTGATTAAAATTCTAACTTTATCCTGGAATTTCAAATCACATGCATTGTAGTGTTAACATTTAAAGTAGAAAGTAAATTAGGAATTTATCTTAACTGTAGAATAAAGGTGTATTTATTTTGAGATAAACTTTTGTGTGTCTGCCAGTAGTCGGATTTGAACTTAGGGCCCCCTGATTTTCATTCAAGGCTAGTGCTCTGCCACTTGAGCCACAGCTTCATGTTCAGCTTTTTGCTTGTTAACTGGATATAAGAGTCTCATGTACTTCTCTGCATAGGCTGGCTTTGAACCTGGCTCCTCAGATCTCAGCCTCCTGAGCAGCAAGGATCAGAGGTGTGAGACATAATGCCCAGTTCTTGATCATGATTCTTTACATCTATTATGATTTTTCACATCTATTAAACAGTCTCTTAAACAGTCAGGTTTCATGACTGTAGACATGAAAAGAATGAAGAGCAGACACAAAGAGAAGAACAACAACACTTGTTGAAAATAAATTACAAATGTGATTAAAAATTTAAAGGTTAGCCAGTGCCAGTGCCTGTGCCTCATGACTTGTAATCATAGCTACTGGGGAGGCTGAGATTTGAGGATCAAAGTTTGAAGCCAGCTAGGGTAGAAAGTCCATGAGACTCTTATCTCCAGTTAACCATCAAGAAAAAAAAGGCTGGGTGCCAGTGGCTCACACCTATAATCCTAGCTATTCAGGAGGCTGATAGCTGTTTAAAGCCAGCTCCAGCAGGAAAATCTGTGAGACTCTTTATCTCCAATACCACTCCCCCACACACCCTCCCCAAGCCAGAAAACCAGAAGTGGCACTGTGGCTCAAGTGGTAGAGTGCTAGTCTTGAGCTGAGGAGCTGAGGGATAGCACCCAGGCCCAGAATTCAAGCCCCATGACTGACAAAAAAAAAAAAAAACAGAAGAAGAAAGGTTAATTAAATATCCATCAACTCAAAACCAGAAGAGATTATGAGGGATGTGCCCTTACTTGTAGTTTTACTTTCATTGGGAATTTTGGAGGAGGTGGACCGATTTTTAATGAATTCTAACATAGTTTCAAACTAAATCCGGCATTTCCTCCTAAGTATTCAGGGCAAAAGGTTATCTGACTGAGAACTTCTGGGGTTTCACATGGATTGGATGAATTGTTTACTGATAATCTTACTTCATTTGAATATAGTCATTTTCTTTCTTTTTTTGTGGTGGTACTGTTATTTAAACTCATTGCTTCATGCTGCTTAGGCAGGTGCTCTACCACTTGAACCACACCTCCAACCCTTTTTGCTCTGGTTGTTTTTTTCTTTTTTTTATTTTTTATTGTGAAAATACTGTACAGAGGGGTTACAATTACATGGGCAAGATAGTGAGTACATTTCTTATCAAGCATTGTAGCCTC